CTGTGAAAGAAGTGACAAGCTAAAACAGAAGCATGGTAGCAAAGACTCATGCAGCTTCCAGGCTAGATTCAGCTGTGTGGCCAGTGATAAAGAATTAATCATCCTTTATGGTCTTTATGAATCTGTATTCACACTGGTGGCTCAATCTTTTTGTCATCATGTTAACTCTTACAAGGGAGTTGATTTATTGGCTTATTTTAAAGATCCTTCAGCCTGGTGCTGCACTACTTGTGCAAACAAATTTGGTAAAATACAGAGAGCCAGTTGCTTAATTCAGAGTTACTGTCCGTGAGTACAAGTATCAGGATCAAGTTCTTATTCTGACCATTTTCTGATTGTGCTTTGAATTTTTGGTGATTTCTTGTGAACTTATCAGGCAAGTATCAAAGAGTTTTAATATCTGAACTAACTTTGGTCAGTACTGAAATTTTATTAGACAGACTGCGGTGTCTTACACCACTTTGTGACCCATGTTTGTTTGGTTTTTTTTTTAATCATATAAATGGTGACCTATATACTGGGTGTTTAGCAGAAAGCTACTTCTCTGAAAAATTCCACATGATGGATCAAAACCCAAAGTTCTCCCCCAACTCCATTCCATTAATTTCTTTATGGTTTCTTAATTTTAAAAATGTCCTTTCAAACATTACTCATGTTCTAACTGAGTTAAATTACTCATGATCTAACACATTGATACATATTTTGACACAGAAGTTTATCGTGGGACAAATACACTTATGTTCTCCTGTTTGGCACCACATTTCCACCACTGTTGGTTTACAATTCCCAAATAAGTAAAGATTGCTCTTAATGCCATGTTTCCTAGTCATGAATTATATTATAAATAAAAGAATGATAAAAGCACAAACATATGTGTATATATGTAAAAATATGTATATGTAAATATATATATTTTAAACTTACATATTTGTATATATATGCATGTTTGTACGTATACATATACATATGTTCCTAGCCTTTTTGTAGCCCTTGTTTCCAATATTAATTTTAGTTAAAGTTCCAAAATATGTATTTCATTTAGGATTAACAACAACAAAAAAAAATTAGTAAGGCAATAACAATTTACTGTTATATAACAAGTATGTGCCTTTTAGAATAAACTTAAAATAATGGTTTTAATTATCAAATGGAATCCAACATTTTCTAGTTGTCTCATTAAAATGAAATTAGATGCAGGATTGAGAATTTTAATTCAAAACATTCACCTCTATTGTTGGAACACATTCCTGAATGGGTTCCTAGATTACTTTAGTAAATGTCCACGCTAATATACTTGTAAAACATGGGGTCCAATCCTGTTAACATTCCCTTCCAGAATTAGGACATCGGAAGAATTTCACTTCAGAAGAAAAAAGGGGATTGTACAAAATTACTTCAATCAAGCAAAGATTATTTCCATGTGTAACAGTGTAACTTAATTTACATTCCTGCATCTCAAAATAACTGACACAGCATTTTCAGTAATTACTGAATACTTACTTGCTACACACAGGATTCCTCAGTTGAGGTAACTGCACTGCAAGCAGTGGCAGAATGGAATTGTACATTTGTGGCAATGTGAAATATTTGCATCACCTACTTTAAAGTGTGCGATTCAGTGGGCTTTCTCATGACAGTGCCCTCTAGCAACTGTGTAAGTAATTTAAGATTACTTATCTTCTTCTGTATCACATATTCTACAGTGTTTGTTGTGAAGCACTATGTCCTTAGAGTAGGAAATTATATAATATGTGAGGAAAAAAAGACTGGAATATCTCAGTGCCTTCTATACTGCAAATTAATGTTTCTAAGGCAACTCAATCAAGAAAAGCAAAGAAAAAAAAAAAAAAGAGAAATAAGTACTTTAAGGGGTAATGGCAGGGAGGAATTTCAAACAAATTTGCAGCTAAGTGAGGCTTATGCCTAATAGCTGTCCAGGGCTTGCTCCAGACCATTTTTGATCTAGGTCTGTGAAGCTTGAAGGAAAAGACAATTTTTAAAGAGTTTCAAGGGAGACATTTCTCTATGTATCCAACCCAGGCTAAGACAACAAACTGCACAGCTATAACTGGGGGCTTTGAATGTGAAGTGTCTGTAGACACCAGCCACCAGCTGTGCATACTTATCTACTTCTGCACCATCACAACAGCACAGAGTAGGGATGACTTTTTCCAGCTATATTAGGACACTTCTGACTTATTCAGCTTGGGATAAGCAGTGGGGCACACTCAGATCACTAACAAGCTCCTGGAGTCCTGTCCACCTTGGAGCTCCCACCCTGGCAAGTCCTACAGCTCCATGGGGAAAGAGCAGATCGGGGACAGGCAACAGGCAGCAGCACGCTGGATCTGTCCCTGCCCTCCAAAGCCGCCCTCACTGCCCCTCTCAAGCTTTCCTTGTCCCTCAGACCCACAGAGGTGAGAGCAGAGGCAAAGGTGCCAAGAGGCAGAGGATGCAAGGAGAGGAGGAGCAAGATGGAGGGAACCAGACTTGGCAAGCAAAAGTTGCTAAATGCTGTGCTTAGATGGCCAGATTTTATTTCACAGAAGTGCTCCCTTGCCCATTGTCCCTTACCTTATACTGGGACATTTAATTACTCCCACACATCTGTATGACTATAACCTTGTCCTGTTAAAGATCATCCTTGTGGTTTTTTCAGTCTTAATTTTCCAGAGTGACTCTGAATTCTAATTTCAGTGTCTTGACTGACTGAGCCCCTTCTTCTTAAATGGGGTGATTACTTTGCATGCCTTGTTTTACAAGGACAAACATGATTTTCATGGATACAAGTCTAATTTATGTCTTCTTTAGAAAAAGAATCCCTTTTTGCTTCTCTAAATGGTACTGAAATGTGAAGTTAATGCAAAAACACAAGTACATGGAGATAATGAAGTATGTTTCTGCCAAGCTCTGCAGTGCCTCATTTGTGCCTCATGCAGAGTGCTGAACTAAGTAAAAACTTGATCTGCATCAAATGAAGTGAACTTAACTGACTTCCTTGAAGATTCATAAATGAGAAGGCCAGAGAGCAAAGCTGTGAGGCTGTCTGGCTGCATGTGTAACAGGGAGAAATTCACCCAGCCATTCTGGCACCACGCTCAGGAGATGCAGCTAATCAATAAACTCCAGTGAACTCTCCAAATTGCTTGCTTCAGTTTTCTCTGGAAAATTATCAACCAGAATCTGGTATACAAATAAACAACTGCCATGTAGATCCAAACTCCAAGTATGATGAAAAAGGGAGTTAAATATTTGCATGTATCTTGTGCTCCATTTTCCAAGAAAGCCCCCAGAAGTAGCCTTGTCTTGAGGAAGGTTACAAAGGAAAAAAAAAAAAGATGTAGAGGTCTTTCATTTAATCTGATACAAAATACCATATGTTTTTGCATACTTCATTAATGCTCCCTGGTTTGCCACCTAGAAACGCACAATGAGTTCAACCTTCAGGGGTCAGCAGTGCTCAGCATATCTATGAAGGGAGCTCTACGAGACTGTGGGGACTACTGAGTAAGGGCTGACTGCTGAATATTAATCCTGCAGTTTTAGGTTGGATGGTTTGGAATCTGAAGACTGGCTAAATACATATCATCCCTCATATCATCTTGTAAATGCCACTAATCACCTGTACAGTTCTCAGAAATAAAATAGTATTTCATTCAGAGGGTACCTTGGAGAGTATTCTGAAAAGATTTGCTAGACTGTAAAATTTTGTGTTTACTCATAGTTTTTAAAGTAGATAAATATAGTACCCTTTATTGAGATTTCTAGTATAAAAATTCCTGTGTTTTGAGTGATAACATTCATTTTTAGAAAGCCTAATACTATCAGACTAACAGCTGTACGTGGTCTGGAATAAAGCTTGCTAAATGCAGCAGAGTTTTTGTGGTTGCACTGAAATATGAGTAGTGTAAAGAGAGGCTGCTTCACTGTCTCATTTTTATGCCCAGCGGTCTTTTGTACACTGTTCTGCCTAAATTTTAGATTTAGTAGATTACCTTCAAATTAGAGTAAATTAGAGCTCAGGATTTACCCACAGTGCAATGCCTTACTCCACTAGAAGCCTAACAATTTAAATGCAAGGGAGCACAATCTTTATAGCCTTAGAGTTGTCTTGTCAATGTGCTGTTTATGGACTCTTTTTAGCATACATAGGCACACATGCATGCAAAGCTGAAAGGTTGAAGTGAAATGACTCAAAGAGTGGATCTCTCCTGCAGCATTAACATTACTGCTATTCCAGGCTTTGTGTTAAAGAACAGTGGACTGAATAAAAAGGGAATAAGAAGTGTGATGGATATGAAAATAAAATTATGACATTATAATAAATTAATGCTTACCATTTCCTGAGTGTTTGCAAAATCTGCCCCTTTCAAGCTACACTGTACCATTATAATACTAATCAGGACAATACAAAGCAATACATATTTCTATCAAAATCTACTTAGAGCAATGAGCATTCCTGCTCTCTAAAGACAAAACCAAAACAAAAAAAAGAGGAGGATTTCATCTCAGTGAAACAGTAGTGCCACTGTATATGCAAAAAAGCATGTTTACACGTGGTTAAAAATACAGACTGAGCCTTAGCACATTGTCTCATGTAGAATAAACTACTCTGCATCTAACTCAGAATCACAGCTGTGACCCCTAAAGGTATCTTTAGTTGACCTCATATAACATAAAAAATAAGTTCATAGAGCAGACACTTCTTTGCTATTTCTGCAGCATCTATCAAGGCACCAGCAGTGTAGCCTCAGTATAGAAAGTGTTAGTGCTTTGGAAACATGTTATTAGTGTAAATCGTGGCCTGGCCTTGACTTTATACTTAATGACAGGATGTCAAAAATACTTTGATCTGTATTAATGTAGTTTCTGGAATGAAAATGCTTTCCATCAATTATGTTTAGATCCAATGCAGTTAGCTATGCCATCCAGTCTTCAAGTACTAATGCTCTTTTACACTGTCATCTGTTTCTCACCCATGACACAGCTAAGTGACTTACCACAAGGGAGTAACAGATCTTGAATCCAGGTTTAGCCACAAAGTAGTCATCGGATTTGAAGGTTATCTTTATCTGATTTGTTCTTGATGTTATTCTTGGAGGTACCTCCTTGTGTCCACACCACCGTCCTCGTATAACTGTGCTGGTCTCTGATACATCTTCCACTTCCACAAAGTCATACCTGCGAACCAGTGTGAAGGATTAGTTTTTGCTAACTGTGGTTACAGAAGATGGTTGCACATAGACAGGAGCACAAAGACAACTGTCCCATTATCTACTGCAAAACATCAGACTAAATATTACAAATGGTGGACATGGTCATGTAGCACACACTAAGCTGCAAGCTACTGCCTGAGTGATCAAATGGCTGATTTTTGGGCTTCTGGAACATGACAGTATTTTCTGACATATTAAAATAGTAATGAGAGGCACTTGCATGTGCTTAGTACACAGTAAGCATACACATTGCATTTCATGTGGTGGATAAATAGAGACCTCATAAAATATTGTTTTATTTTTATTTATTATTTAAGGCAGGCTGCCCAAGCTGAGCAGATGCAAGCAGATGTGCGCTTTCTGGTGTTCCCCAAGTCCCTGCAGCAGCAGCCACCAGCTCCTGCCTGCTGCGCCTGTGGGAGGGCTGGAGCCAGGCTGCCGCTGTGCCAGTAGCAAAGGGACACAGGCCAGTGGATGCTGCTGAAAGGTGCTTTTTAGGACTTTCTTTGTAGGTGGCATGGTGCTCCTGGTAGATGGTTTGGAAAGACTCATTCAAGCCTTCACACAGAAAAGGGCAGGCTGGCACTCTGCATGCCACTCTGCTGTTTATGTGGGTGCTATCACCAGGGGAAAAGCAACAGCATATATTACCCTGTGCAAGATCACACCTTGGCCAGGCACCTGTGCCACAGTCCTGGTGCCCTGAGCCCAAAGAGTGCTCTGCCAGGAGCAGCAGACACTAAACCCCAGGGATGAGAGGACACAATGACAGCACTCACTGCCACAGCCTGACTGTTCACTTGCTTGGGTCATTTACTGATCATTTATTGAGCTGGAGAATAAAAAAGGCAGAGAAAAAAGTCCTGAACTCACTACATCTATGAGAAAAACTGCACTTGATACCTGCAGAGACAGAATTAGGCCCTGCACATTGTGGCCGGCAAGGAAGAGGTGGTGACAAGAGGGACAAGTTGAGTGCAGGCAGTGAGATGGAAAGCACTGCCATCCTCACAGTATAGTTAAGCCTTAAAGACCTTTGGAGGTGTTTACCAGGAAAGGTTTTATTATCAAAGCATGTCCTCCCTCCAAAGAGGGAGTTTAAGACTGTTAACTGATTCTTACTAGTAATGTGTTCCTCCCCACCCCCAGGTCTGTGGGCCAAGCACCCACCTCCCTGCCCACTTGTGGGAGCAGAATAGCTCTGTAAATAACAGACCTGCTTTTCTTTTTCTGCTGAGAGACCATATGAAAAAAATGCGAGTACTATGTGGCTTGAGAATATCAGCACTGCTGCTTTTATATACACCAACCCCCAATTGCACAGGACAGAAAATAACAGATTTGCCACAACCAAATCACTTAAATCTGCCCAAACTCTGCTGAAACATAAATTTTTTGTAACACAACAAAGTTTAGTTCCAGACAGAGGTAAATTTGTCTCCGTCTCTCTTCACTGTCCTTTGCTCCCCCATGGTGATGGACATGGAACTCGGCAGAGCTCTGTGCTGCTGCATGAGCACCCACCACTGCCTCCAGGCAGTGTAACAGCTAGTGAACACTTACAGTAACACAAGGGGTTGTAGAGTTTTCAGCATAAGATAACCTTGTAGGCTTTACAATTTAGGGAAGCTGTCCTGACCGTTCTCCCCACTTTTTGAGGCCAGGAGCCAGACTAGCTGTTAGCAAAAATGGGGCAAATCCATGGGCTTTCAGAGATCACTTCTGCTTTCAACAGCAGAGGCTTTGCTTCAACAATCACGAAACTAGGTGCAATCTCCGTTGTTTCTGTGCATCCAAGGAGCCTCAGAGGCTGGGTAATTTAATTGCTTTTCAGAATCATCTCTTATCAAGTGCCTGTGGAAATGCTAATGGCCCTTCTAGAAAATTCTGTACAACCTTGAATATTTCCCCTCCTTCTGAAACAGCTCAGCTAAAGTACACTTCTCATTCCTCAGCCTGAATGAATTTCAATCAGTTTAGTCTTAATAGAATGCAAATTACAATAATTAGCATTAATGAAAAATTGAATGAAAACACTAGGAAGTTTCTGGAAAAAAAAGCGTAAAGTCACAAGCAAGTACAAAAGGCAGGTAAGGTGCAGAGGTCCTGAATTACTTTTCCAATATGCACAGCATTCAAGCACATGCTCAGCTCTCAGCATTCATTTCAATTAAAACATGCCTGGTGTCTTTCTAAAGCACCACTGCAGTGATTGTCAGGGACTGAAGTTGCAGAAAGGACCTAGTTTTGAAAAACATATTGAGCATTAGCAAAAAGTCTGACTATGCACACAGTACTTAACAGGCTTAAAGCCATCACGAGCTGTCTGCCCGAGAATTTACTCACTCTAGAAGTAATACACAAATACACGTCTTCCAGGAACTCCAGGGAAAGCCTTATTGCAGAAAAGAATGTGATATTTCTCCAGCTTCTATAGACATTATGGATGATGGAAGGTCTTTGCTTCTCTCTTCATCTTAAATTAGCTGCTCTGGTAAAAGCAGGCGAATTGTATTCCAAGATGGTCCCCAAACTCATAATGGCAGTAACAGCTTGACTTCCCTCATCATGCCACCACCTTTAATGGCTTTTGACAGAGAATACTTCATCCTTTTTTTCCACAGTAAATTAGCCCTCCATTTCAAAGTTGCCATGCTTTAAGGTCAGCCACAGTTTATCCACTATGTAAATATTAACAGGCTGCTTCTGTATGCATTAGGCTCTCAATCTGGGAAAGCGTTTGTGGTGCTAGGAGGTAACTGTCGTTACTGACTCTGCTGCTGATCTTGGACCAACAGTACCAGAAAAGAGCAGCAGCTGCCAAGACCATCAAAGCACAGGGAAGGAGAACCAGTTTCAGGCTGCATTCTTTTATTACTAAATGGAAAGCAAACTTCCACAAATGGTTCTCTCTATTGGTAACACAGAAAATTAACAAAGCAAAACAAGAAAAAAAAAAAAATCCACCCTGTAAAACCCTGCAGAGCTGCCAAACTCTATAAATGCAAATTAATTGACAAAGAAGATAAGATAAGCAGAGACTGGGTGTGCAGAAATCCTAACAACTCAGTTCTCTGCATAGATAAGGGGTAAGTAACAACATGATCAGGCAGAGAGCTGGAAGCTGGGACTTGACATCACAGCACTCTGCCTTTCTGAGCACACAGAAATCCTGAGCCTGATCTCTCCCGCAGAACAGATAGCTGAATAAAAGAAATATGAACAAAAACCGTTGCGGATTTATATTGTTTTAGTGAATGGTGGCAAGATTCCCCTCTGTGTTCTCCTAATGCAAAGCAGTTTATCCACCTGGGTTAATCAGCCAGATCAACTGAGCTTATGGTCACTTTTGCTTAAAAAGGGAAACCCAAGCAACTGGGATATAGTAGAGTATACTTTATTAGATATATCAGTATGCAGAGTACACTGATGTTTGTGGACCTCTATTTAAAAGTTTTAAAATAAACTTTTACAGTGAAGGGTAACAATGAAGATAAACAAATAACTGAAGAACAGTTACATTTTTCAATGCATTTTTATCTGTTCCCCACACCCAATAAAACATGTACCTACTCACTCACACCTTCCAGAACCTTCCACCTACTAAAAAAGATGATTTTTGCCTGGCTGAAACATGATTGAGGTGATGAAACATGATAGAGGTGATAGAGAACAAAATCCTATTGAAGTAGTACCTGAGTCATTAGGTAGCCGGATTTGAGTGTAGAACTGCCTTGTGTTTAAAATATGATAGTAGTAAAACCTGACAAAACGGCTTGAAGTCCAGGACAGCTCAATTTATTTATAAACTCAAAGACCAATTTGGGTTGCAAGGGACCTTGGAGGTCTGTGCTCCAAGCAGGGACATCCTAGACCCAGCCAGAGATACCAGGTTTTGGTTTACAGTCTCATGCCAGTGGTCACATCTTTATGCTCGAAGGTAGTATTAAGGAGTGCTTTACAAACTTTCACTTGCCACTCACCTGCAGATATCATTTTCAGGCTCCTCCAGTCCAAACTGATTATCAAAAGCCAGCTGGATCCTGGTGCTCTCTGGGGAGTGGAGTCGCCATGTCAGCAGGAGGTTCCTGGGGTAACTGCTGGGGAAGCGAGGACTGTGGACGCAGCCATTCCCTGCCACACTGATGGTCTCTTCTTTTCGGTACAAGTCTGTGAGGTGATTGCTCTCTGTTAGTAGTCACAACTTGTAGAAATTAGTATGTTGTTCCAGTTACAGGAAGGCAAAAAACACAACAATTTATAACACAGCACAAATTATTTGCATTTAAAGTCTATAAAAAGTTGGGTCTAGAAGCAGTTATTATGAAATAAGAAGTACAGGGTATTTTCTCTTAATTCAACCACCTATAAACAATAAGAACAACAGTACTCAGTTATATAGACTCTTTATTTACAATATATATAATTACTTTTACATTGATATTGATTATATAATTTCATTCTTATTGTTTTGGTTTTAATTTAAACTTTAATAAAAGCTGCAAGCCTGAGAACAATGAAGTGAGACAGAGTGATGTGAAAAGGTAAGACAGCCCTGTTCCCAAGTTTGTTGCTCTGGGGAGAGATGCTTGAACAAAAACAGCAATAAAAGACTGTAGAAAAGTGCATGCAATTGAGTCTATTTGTTGTGCTTAAATATTTCCTCCCCGAAGCATATGTTAAGTCACATTTTGATTTTATTTTAATGGTGTGAATCGCTTGCTGTCTGTGGATCATTAACACAAATAGCTACTCCATGCTTACACCAATGTAACTGAAGTCTGAAACTGTCCCACCAACAGCAACTTCAAGACAAATAACCAAGTCTTTACTTATTTAAAATTCCACAACTTCTGCCTGAGCAAATACTCAATTGTTCCTAAAGTTTATTTATACCAAGGTAAAGCCTCAGCTGCTGTGAATCCCTGGCTCCAAGGATAACAGGAACTGTGGCAAGACTCAGCTCTCTAAAAGTCAAAATGTGTTCTAAGTTTCACCATGCATTTGCATTGTCCAGCTGTTACTGATATTGGAATTTGTCTCCCAGCGTCAAAGAACTGCAAGCAACTATTTTTTCATGCACTGACAACTTTAATGTGGTAAATTTCAAGGACCAGAAGGCTCCAAGGCAAGACACAGATCACGGCAGGTTTCCTGCCTAGACTCCACAAGGACAGGGAGGTCCAGCAGCACATCCAGCAGCCCCCAGAAGTCCCGTGGAAGCTGTGCTGTCTTGTGGATGGAGCCACTTGGGTGTGGGCAAGCTTTCCCAACATAGCTCGTGGGAGCTACACCCGGACAGGTACTGAGTCAGTCACCCAACTGCACTGACCAAATCTCTACTTATAGGAACTTGGACACTTGCTTTCATGTAAACACCTGGACTCTCGTGTCCTAATCTGATACTGGACATCAACTCCAGTACTCTGCTGAATGCCAAGTCAACCTCCAGTTCCACTATAAGCAACAGAAATATAAAACTGATGCCTTCTCCCGAATTTGCCTACTGAGGAAAAGCAAATGGGGGGAATATTTCTCCCACTAAGCCACGCCATGAACACTGGAAATACAAAGCCAAAATAAGCAACGAGCCACAGCCATCTATCACACAGAGTGATCAAAGTTTTCTCTCTTAAAATTAAATCTAATGTTTGAAGCTTTCTAAGCTCTTTATATAAAAGAAATATATTTGTTTCATAAATGCTTGTGGAAGACAGGAAACCAGAGAAATGGTACAAACTCCATGGTAAGCACATCTATATTTCAGGTTGCTTTTCACTGGTTCCTGGTTGTAAATACCTCCCTGCACATAGCTGTAAGCAAAGCATGGTTCTGTGTCAACAGTTCATTGTACCCCTCTGACAGGTCAATAATTCTAGCTTCCAAAGAACCTGAAACTTAGAAGATAAAATTCTAGGTTTCCTGTAAAAACTATCTCCAAAGATCTATTGTTACATCTTTCTAAGATGCTTTCATTCAAGATGAAATGTTCTCACACCCTGAGCCACCCTTTCTAAGCAAATACAGCCCTGGCTCCATAGCTCACAAAGTGCAGAATGAGCTAGTTTTGTTTTGTTCTATTCCATTTTGACCAATTTGCATTGGAGAAGTGACAGTTCAGTGAAAATAAAGACCACCCACCTATCAGTTCTGTTGTAATATTTGTCAGAAACATCTGCACTCAAGTTGTTTTCTATTTTATTTTATTTTATTCTATTTTTTTCTCTGGAAAAAAAGAAAAATAAAGACACCTCTGTTTTTTTCCCTTAATCTGGAATGAAACAAAATGTCCAGCCAACACTACTGAGCTCCTACTGAAATGCTGAGGATCTTTGGACTCTGAAAAAAAACAGTACACCCAAGAGGACAACATATTTCACATGACTATGTCCAAAATGTCCAAGAAAAGGGATAAAAATAAACCAGTTTTGATGAAAGTAAATTCTGCACTTTCGAATGAACCAACCATTCCTTAAGTCAGAACAAAAGTTACTGCAGTAAAACATGGCATAACTCATCCTATACCTGAGAGTACTTTGCTCTTCTTTCTTAGACAGCAAACCCTTGCCATTTTCCCACTGTCAGCACTCATTTCACTGTGTGGTTCAACGTGGTTGATGTTTTTGAGGGAAGGTTCCCTGTGCCAAGCCAATCCTAGTACAGGCTTTAATCTGGAGTTGTTAACTGCTGAGATTCGAGTGCTTGGAACAGTATCTTTTAAATGTGCTTATGTATATACACCCAAACAAAAAACCCCTGTGCAATCTACTGAGCACACGAGCTGAGAAAGTATGTTACCAGTGTTCTTGTACCCCAAGAACATAGGCTCTGCCATGGCTTTTCATTTAACTTAAAACTCTGAATCCCACACACCAAGGTGCTCTGCCAGCAAGTCAGTCATAGCTGACCAACATCAGCGCTGAAATGTAGCGGCTGGTGCAGCTCTGCAGAATCCAAGTTGAACAGCTAAATGGAGAAATAAAGCTGCACATATTAAAAAGAGTAAAAATCAAAGCACAATGACTTGTTATTTCTATCATGGCAATTCTATAAAGCCATTATAGAGGAAAGGCTGGAGAGAAGCATGGGGAGACAATATTCAGTATAGTAAAATAGGGGGTATAAAAATATTACAGTATGAAGATATGCATTTTCCACAAAGAAAGTATGTCTGATGAGAATGGCTGCTGTTCCTATAATTCACATGGGATGAAATGCAAAGCTACTCAGAGCCTTCACCTAGCACTGAAATAGACTCTTCAGGAGCTCTCAAACATCCTGATTCCTTTACACCTGTCTTCCCACACACTAAATTACAACCTGAAGTGGTGTAGTCAGGACTGGAACCAAAAGCACTAGTTTCCTATGGGAATTTTCACTGTGATTTTGCAGAGTTAACTGGATTAGATAAACCTGTGAACAAAGTCGACCCAAAGTTGGTCTCTGGAGGTAGGCCCCTAAAAAAATCATCAAGTATCTGGGAAACAGCTCGAGGAGATATGAGCAACTCCTGTACTTCTTGTAGCAACTAAGGTGTGAGACTAAAATGACAAGACCATTTCCACGCAGACAAGCATTGTCCTCATCAGATACACTGGGGCAACTTGTGGAAACCTGACACTGGCCATGGGGAAAGTCAGGAAAAAAATCCTTGAGAAAAGATGTAGGCAAAGGAAAAGGCAGTACCTCTTCCAAGGCACTGAACTGTCCCATGCTGCAATGCAATACAATGCAATATTATACAGTGTCCTGAATGTCACATACTAACTGTATTCCATAATGCTTTATAGAAGTAAATAAAAGATGACAGTGGGTAATACACTGCCTGTCACATTTACTAAAAAGCATATAAAATCACTTCACAATGAATAAAAGTGGGTGTTAAGTCATAAGGCAAAAAGGCCATTTAAGCAATACGCAGGAGGAGGATATTCTAGATGGCAGGAGATACAAAGACATCCTTTCACTGGGGGAGGGAAACTATTTTATAAGGAAGATGAGTGGGAAGGAAGCTGGGAGACATCCTTCACAGTGAGGCAATTTGCTGCAGAGTCTGAACTGACTGGGAAGCAGCTTGCTCTATTTTATTTATCTGAACTAATCTCTCATCTTCATTTTTTCCCAACCACTAATTTTAAACATAATGATACACATGATAGTCCAGCTGTCCAAGTTAGAGGAGCTCCCATTTAAGTGCTCTAAGCAGCATCATTTTCAGAAGTGTTTGCCTTCCTCCCCCTGCATGGAGGGCAGCTGGGTGTCAAATGGGGAACTGGGAAGTTCAGCTCAATATTTAGGAAACTGCTGGTCTCAAGACTTTCCCGACCATGGGTGCCTAGCACTTCCAATGTTTTTCCTTCCCAGCTAGAGCATGTTCTCCTAATGCCGTGCTGCATGAGCAGCAAAATTCAGAAACACAAATTTCATCCTGCATTTGCTCTGGATGCCTGGATTTCCTTTCAAGATTTAGCAATGTATTGACACATTCTTGTGAAAGCTACTCCCAGTCGTGGCATACCTAGTACAGAAATAAGTTTGCTTTTATTATCATAATTTAACAATCAATTCTTCCACTAAAATAAAAATTTAAAAAAAATAAGAAAAAGAAAAAGGCAATTATCTAATAGATAATCTGACATTTGTTCTTGGATATCCATTGAGCAAGGAGAGTCTGTGAGTGGCAAGCCCTTCAGAAAGAAGAATAAATCAGAGAATGACCTTGTCTAAGGATCTAACCAATATTACGGAATATTTGGTTCCACTTTTTTAAGGTTTCTGAAATTTTAGCCACATTTCCTAAGGTGGTGTCCTGTCTATATGTTTGCTTCTGTTTTTCTTCCCCTTGTAGAAGTGGTTGGCCAACCTCAACAACTTTGATATAGTGGTAGAGGCTGAAAAGACACCATATTATGACATGTTTTAGAACAAGAAATATACCCTCTTAGATCCCATGGAATGTAACTTGATGAGTTCATCCTTTGCCACAGCTGAGGAGAGAGCTGCTGGAAACCATATGAAGTTTGTTTTACCACTTGTGAAACTATTTATTTCAGGAAAGGACCTTGGGAGTTTGCATGTGGGAGTTTTCCAGATATAACCCTCCTCCCCCACAGCTACTCTCTTTGAAACAAATACAGTGGTCAATGGTTTGCCACCAGTTTTTAAACAAATGAGATAAACTTCGGGAAGAATAATAGCTCTTCAGTTCCTTCAGTTGAAAATTAGCCTGATCTAAATAGCTGAATCCAGAGAGGGAGAAGCAAAGAACAGTAAAACATATTTGAATCCAGGCCACAAATTAGTTCATCTCGAGGACAGGCATGCCAAGCAAGCTGTATTTATGGCAGACTGTTCAGATACTTTTTTTTTTTTTTTTTTTTTTTTTTTGTTGTTTTTTTGGTTTTTTTTGTTTTGTTTTTTTGTTTTTTGTTTTAATTCTTCTACCCTTCTCCTATATGGAGAAACTTTACTTGTTATACATAAGGTTCTTCATAAATCAGAGGAAATGATGACAGAGTTCATGGTCAAAATGGTGTGTTCCATAGCTGATCACAGCTTGTAAGGAAGATATAAACCTATAAAATTATTTACTTTGTTGGTTTTTTTTTTCAGTGAACATAAACAATAACATGAATCCTAGTCAGTGAACACAACACCACATTTCTGCTGTCTAATGAAGAAAATAATACTATGTTAGTAATTGTCTTAGACATCTGTCCTTTTAAAGACAGAAGCCTAACATACCCTCTCCCCACCATGATTCACCAGCAGTTCTCCAAGAAGGCAGACTAAGGAAGAGAAAGTGTTGGGATCTCCAGTAATGAAACAGGAATAGCACAACCCTGGCCAGGCTAAAAATTCTAAATTATCTCTTATGGAATCACTAAGCTGAGAAAACAGTCATTCTGGTATAAAGATGAATATGAAAAAGTTTTATACTCGGCCAGTGGATCCAGTCCAAAGCATTATTTCAGGCTGCTTTCTGCTTTACAGAACTTCAATAGTCCTGTTTATTTCAAGGAGACCACAGGCCACCTTATAGTTAAGCTTATACTTAAGGAATTTGCTGGATCAAGACCCAAATAAAAGAGCAGCATTCTAACACCACCCTATGTGTTCCAAGCCACCCATCAACCAAGCTATTAAGAAGTGGACTTAAACCCCACTGGAGTTGATGAAAGACTCTTAGTTTGGTTGGCTTGCCACTAACTTCAAAGAAGCAGCTCCAGGTACCTGCTCCTTCTCTTATCAACAGGCCCTTTCTTTTTATCAGGAGCATGAAAGATACTTTGGGCATCATCAGAGTTCACATCCAAAACATGACCCTTTCTGTCATTGAAGCAATATCAAAAGATGCTGTGTGCATGTTTATCCACATTCAGACCTCACGTGCACTCACTCAGCTCTCTCTGAGTCCCTGAGCCATGTGGAGATCTTAGCTAGAAGATGTTTTATGTCTGCATAGGATATATCAAAGAAATGAAAAACTGAGCTGTAGTTGAAAGAAGAAAAATTAGCCAGTGTAGAATACCAGTACAGAAGGTATCAAAAAATAAAAAAAATCCCAGCTGTCTAAAATTCAATTCAGAGCCATCGACCATTTTAGAACAGAATGGTGAATAGTCCGCCTGTGCTTCTATGCAAAGCAACCTCATGAGTCTTGGCATTACCTAGCCAATCTATGGTTGAACAAGACCTCAGCAAAGACCACTCATGAGAATGTTAAGCGGGCAATTGATAAGGAAGTCCAGGCATATAATTTATAGAGACAGCCTGTTATATTATAATAAGAATTATTTTATTTGCATTTAATAATATTATTTGTATTGTGGAATGGTCATCATCATAAATGCATTTTTAATGTGGCACTAAAGAAACAGTCCCAAAATAAAGAATGGTCTGGACTGCATTTTGGTGGGATGAAGGTTGTGACTCTTCTTTGTGGTCTTTGGTAGGTGCCTTCCTCAAACTTCCACAGATGAATACTGAGAAAAAATATCCTTATTTTTATGGGGATATCAAACTCTGCAATATTTCCTTTTTGCAGTGACTTGTATTACTTACTTTTATTTGACTTCTTGATAGAGATATTGTTCTACTAAAAGAACATGCTGAATGTCTTATATGACAGCAAATGTGTCTATAGAAAAGTAACATATGTTAGACTCATATAAAAAACTTTGTTAACTGCTGTTCTTTCATTGGCAGTAGTGTTGCAATGCATATCTCTGTTGGACTCTTAAACCAACAGCAAACTGAATATATTATTCTCTTGGGATTCCATAATTAAGTATGAAAAAGGAAAATGTGTATATCAAGAATGTGTAGCTTTAATGATGTTGAGTAAGACTAATGAAAACAACCCCATGATCATGAGAATAAAAATACATAAAACCTTGAGAAATTGTGAGAAAAAATAAAGAGGGAAATGACTCTCCTGATGCTGCAAAGAGCTTAAGGGAAACCTGATAACTGAAGCAGCAGTGAGGGCTGACACCTCCATGAGAAGGATGGTATAAAACAGACTTGTGTAGTGCCTCAGACAAGATGATGCCAGTTATAGACACAATTGCTATTAAGCATGAATATGAATACCAGACTTCGTCTCGCACACTTTTGCAAAGAACTAGAGCATTGTGTACTTAGGCACTCACAATTTTTCTGTTTAGGCAGTAGCTTCAAGTAAGCAGATCTTTGTGGGAAGCTTTGTGGTGTAATGACAATATACTCTTTTTTTCATTTTGCTTTCATTATTTTTCAAATTTTTATGTTCAAGAAAGGACTTTTTGCCTCAGAAATTTGGCATGGCTCAAGACTTAAAAGATAATTTGTTTTAAGATGTTTTAGAAACTGTTTCTGTCAAGCACTCCTAAGACTCACTAAGATGTGGCATTTCCTTAAAGAAAGAAAAATGTCGATAAAAGGAAAGAGAAAATCCAGTCAAATGGGGAAAGGCTTCTCCTGTTAAACGTATCATAGCAGATAGACAAGCAATTACTGAGTGGAAGGTTGTACGTTAGAACATTAGGCAATAAAAGGAGAAGCGGTTTCAAAAGACAAATCAAGGCAATTTTCTTTTTTAATGTAAGTTTCCTTACCCTCTATGTCAGTAGTGAAAATCTGAAATCTCTGTAAGGGAGTGAAAGGTCACTTTTTTATAATGGAAAGTCTGGCAACAGTATTCTAGCAGACAACGTTTCCTTGGACTGAGTCTGCCATGGGCATGCTTTTGGTCTCTTAGGGTCCGTATATCAACTGATTGTACAAAGATAAAAACTTGTGGGGATATTTCAGTCCCTTTAAGGCAGGTGTGTTAAAGTTCTAAGTACCTTAAAGTTACCTAGATCTTTTTTTTTTTAAAAAAAAAAACCCAACATAGGCAGATCTTACTATATTGAAATAGGATTAGATGGTAGTCCTTTCCTTTTTATGTAGTAGCCTAAGAGCTAAATCTCTTCCAAGGAAATAGGAGCCTGTGTTGTTATTCATCTATTTGCTTGAGAGAATTCAGACAACTTCTGTCTCCACTCAAGGGATGAATGGATCCTGGATGCTGCTTCAAAGATGGGTTCTCCAACTTCCAAGCAATGGTTAGAGGCAAAACGCAGAAGCAGTTCTTGGAGCATGGACCAGAACCCAAGACTTAGCCACAAAGTAAAGATCTAGCAGCTTTTCTACTATCTACTCCAGGGCATACCATCCTGGGTCTTTGA